AAGTAGATCGACGGAACTTCAAACTGTTGCCAGTGCTTTGTCAACAACCCCTCGAGATGTTGATGAAGATCTGGAAGTTCCGATGTCTGATTCATTTGAAGTGATTCAAGACAAAATTGAACTGCTAAGAAAACGGTTAGTAATTGTTCGTCCTTTTTTGTCACAATTGTTTTGGTACTTTACAAATATTAAGATGTCAAGAGTTGAACTATCCACTACTTGAAGAATATGACTTTCGCAATGATGCAGTTTTGAAAAATCTCAACATTGAACTTCGTCCAAATACCATTTTGAGACCTTATCAAGAAGAGAGTTTACGAAAAATGTTTGGCGAGGGTAAAATTCATGCGGTTTTTGTTTTCGTGTCATTGATCATTCAATGCGTATTTGTTAGAACGAGCTCGATCTGGTGTCATTGTGCTACCTTGTGGTAACTGCTGAACTCAGTTCTTTCATGTTTTTCATCATAAGTGCATTTTTCAGGTGCTGGAAAATCATTAGTTGGCGTTGTAGCCGCATGTAAAATTAACAAGAGTTGTCTCGTAGTGTGTAATTCCAATGTTTCCGTGCAACAATGGAAAGAACAGTTCGAGAAATGGTCGACTGCAGATAATTCTACAGTGAGATTGTTCACAGCAGAGAACAAGGCCGAACCCACTGGTGAGAACAGTGCATCATTCTCGTTATGTTAATTAGAACATTGTGTTACTTTGTTTGACGTCGTTAGATGCCTGCATCTACATCAGTACATATCAGATGATTGCACCTACAGATGGACGTAGTATTGAAACGAGTAGAATTATGAAACTATTCACAAGTCATGAGTGGGGTTTGTGACACCATATTCCTTTTTTCTGTCTCTAAGATCCACTATCCAATAGGTTTGATGTTGCTCGATGAAGTGCACACAGCTCCAGCTGCAAGCTTTCGAAAAATATTGAACTTCATTCATGCCCATGTCAAACTAGGTCTTACCGCGACACTCGTTCGTGAAGACGACAAAATTACAGATCTTAACTTTTTAATTGGACCTAAATTGTACGAAGCCAATTGGATGGAACTACAAAATTTAGGATTCATTGCTAAAGTTCATTGTGGCGAAGTAACTATTCGTATTCGAAATTTTTTCATAGCAAAATCTCTTTCTAAGGTTCGATGTTCAATGACAAATGAATTTTTGCTCGAATATAATAATGCTACCAATGATGTGATCAAACGAAGACTCAGTGCTTTAAATCCAAATAAATTCCGAACTTGTCAATATTTAATTGAATATCATGAACGACGAAATGATAAGATTATTGTTTTTTGCGATGATCTATTTGCACTGCAAACCTATGCACAAAAGCTTGTCAAGTATGTTGTATTTATTATTCTGTTAAGGTCTTTTATTTTATTTATTCATTGCAGGCCAATTATTTATGGAGAAGTATCACAAAGTGAACGTATTTTAGTTTTGCAAAATTTTCAACGCAATTCACGCATCAATACTATTTTTATTTCTCGAGTAATTTTTTTAATTTTTTTTATAAAGTCAAAATTGTACGTAAGTCAATGGGAAATAGGTGGGAGATACATCGTTCGATTTACCTGAAGCAAATGTGATTATTCAAATATCAAGTCATGGTCGTTCACGACGTCAAGAAGCACAAAGACTCGGTCGTATTTTGCGAGCGAAGAAAAGTAGTTTTCACTTTTCCTATTGAGAGACAAAAATGAACTGTTTCGTTTTTCAGGCACTACCACTGAAGATAACATTGCTTTTTTTTATTCACTCGTGTCACAAGATACCGTTGAAATGCGCGATCTACTTAAACGAAAAAGTTTTCTTATCGATCAAGGCTATTCATATAAAGTCATTTCAGAACTAGTAACCAATGAGGTATTGTATTCTTTGTCGTGAGATAGAATAATTTGAGTGCTTTTTCCTAAGGACCAACTTTATTTCTCAACAAAAGAAGAACAAGGACAACTATTGAAAACAGCTCTGGCAGGACCTAATCAAGATGAAGACAAGAAAGTGAAAAATATGTCAACCAGGACAGGAAGATCTGGTTCGAAGCGGTTCATACATCCTCTTTTCCGAAAATATCGAAAATAATCTCGTCGTGTGTATTGTAAAGTTTATTGGTTTTACAATTGTGACTATCTAATAAATATCTAATAAACGAAATACAGTTTTGTTTCAAGCTAACTAATTATGTTTTCTAATTATTCAGCTCACCTTACACTCGTTTCTTGAATTAGCAGGACGTTTTCTCTTTTCACTCTCCATTCATTACCAAACTCATTTCCAAAATCGACACGGAATGCTACTATATATTCAATCAGAGCATGAATGTTCTAATGACATCTAAGATCTTCTTGAAGAAAAAACATATGAACATAATATGCACTTGACACCAAACAATTTCTTTTTTGTCACCTTGAAATTTTTTCATATGAAACTACCTAACAATTTGAGAAATTATTGTAGTTTTTGTGCGTTTGAAGACAGCGATGTGGTTGTAGCGTTTTTTTTTGTGTTGTTTGCATGAGAAAAAATTGCTGCACTACACAATGTTAATGGGTGATGCAGAAGTGGCATCGTCACTTTTGAGACAACGGAACGGGTGTAGGATGTGGGTGGGTGTGGGTGTTGATTCTATTCACAATGGCGCCCATATCCACAGCCACAGCCACACCCTTTTTGTAATTTGAAATTTTTAGTTTTTTTCACCATCGATTATTTCATGAATACGACTATTACCCTAATGCAGTCTATATGCATTAACAGCTCTCACCACACTACTATATACGTTAATCAATCCGTAAATGGTGATATTGTTGACTTTTCAAACGGATAAAAAGGTCGAATCATGCCTCTCATGTTGATTATATGAGTGCTATGACAGATGAATATATATTACTATTCTTCATCCTTGATTTTTAACAAACAAGTTTAAATTCTAAAAAAAGTCAACGATTACACTATTAAAAACTCTAACAAATGTATAATAGTTTTTTTCAAACAATTATACAAGTATCAAAATATTGTATAGCAGTCGAATTCATATTCTTCATACTGATCAACTCCTGGTTTTTATTGTTAAATAAATTTGAAGCCTTTTATACGTGGTTGTTGAGGTCTCTAATGGAGGCCTACGTTGCTATGTGTCTGTAATGGGGAGAGGGGTGGGGAAGCCGCAAAAACTTGAACATAAAACTTAGACTCACTATTTTCTTCAAAAATATACGTGGGTTCCACAAAATACAAATTTGATGACTTTCTTCTTTATGTCGAACGTAACACTTTCAAATCTCACGACGATACTAATGAGTAAATCGAAACAGATGATAGATAGACATCTGATATTCTTTGAGAAAAGATGTAAAACGATTCATAATACTTTTCAGAAGATCAGCATCTTCAGTAATACAAGTAATGAAAAGTAAAGACATGTACTGAAAAAAGAAACTAGCATTTTAGGTTCGTCGAAATCAGTCATTCCTACTTGCTAGTAAAGGTCGAAGTTCGAGCAGCTAATGTCCAATTTTTTTAAAAGTACTAACGACTACTTTTTGAATAACTTTTCAACAGCTCAAGCTATAGAGATCAGATTTCACCGTTAGAAAGAGCAATGCGGGGGACGTCGATCTGTATAAAATTCCTTAGGTTCAATGGCCTTTTCGATAGTTGTTTTCAGACAGATATCTTTTTGGACGTCTATGTTCATGAGTTTTTGATGGCAAGTAAACATCAAATTAGATCAAAATGAAGCTCAAATCTTTCTGTATTTGAGCTAAAATTTGCATATTTTAACATCAAAACTTAAGGAAAAAAATCCCGAGAACAATAAGCAAAGATTTGAAAATTTTAGTAGAAATACAGGAAGATTTAGGCTTCATTTTGGTCTAATTTGATGTTTACTTGCCATCAAAAACTTATGAACATAGACGTCCAAAAAGATATCTGTTTGAAAACAACTATCGAAAAGACCATTGAACCTAATGAATTTTATACAGGTCGAGATCCCCCGCATTGCTCTTTCTAACGGTGAAAATTCGACCTCTATAGCTTGAACTGTTGAAAAGTTATTCAAAAAATGGTCTTTAGTACTTTTTAAAAAATCCAACATTAGATGTTTCGTAAATTCCCTCATAGAGCCACTATTAAAAATGTCGTACATGATGACTACATTTCAGTTGAAGAAAAAGAATTAAAATTAGCTTCACCTATAGAGAAAGAAAAAAGTCATTCGTGATGCGACGAAGTAGTCACTTCTCTCTGTGAGTCATATGTTATTTTTAGAAAAAGAAATGACAGGAAAAAATACGTAAGCATGAAATTTTGAATTATTGTTCAAAGCAACAATTCGTATAAGTCGGAAAAAGTAATTCTTGTTAATGTTAAAAATAAGAGGTAGAATGTATAGAGACATTCATCATCAAATATGGCACGTAATGACATCAACACACCAAATTGATAATCTTCAATAGCAGGAAACAGTTCGTGACATCATGTCTTTGTTTACTTTTTCTAGAATAGGTGAATAAGTAGTGCTGAGGTTCTCTTCTCTTCACTTTCTCTTACGCACATCCACCTGTCTTTGAAAGACTCTCAATAAATATATCACGTTCTTTTAAATATTGTTCTAGTTCAGACAATTATTGTTCTATCCGTCTTTCAATATTCTGTATGGGTTATAGGCGGTACTCAAAGTCCTATTCGACTGTAGATGAGTAAAGATGAACACAGAGAGAACTATCACTTTCAAGTAGCTCATCCGATGATGGAACAAGAACATGAAAGAACAGGATAATTGAATGCTAATTCGCATCAAATGAATGTATGGTTGAAGATAAAGAGACTCTAACCTTTATATATCGCGCTTATTTATGATTTCAACGTTTAATTTCTTTTTATTATATTGAAATAATGACAGAAAACTACTTGTATTCGAAATGATTTAGGTACTATATTTCACTAGTGCCTGTCAAACAAAATCTTCGAATAGTAATCAACAAAAAATATTCCATTTCGACCAGTAACTTTCAAGTCCATCACATTTTTGACATGTTTCGATAAATTTATTCTTGATTCGTTCACTTTGCTCTAGAGACATAAATGTTTTCCAATCGTTGATTTGTCCTTTGCGTACTAATTCCATATTGGGATCACCATCAAACTGCTTCAACATTCGAGCGCGAGCAATTTCATCTTCGATTTCTTCGATGTATATCATTTCGAATTTTCGACGTTCATCATCATATTTATTTTTCATATAATTGAATGATGAGTAAAGAATGACTTTTTGAAGAAGTTCTTCGGTCAAATGAATATTGATAAAAGTAGCTACCTAGAATATATTAGAAAATTGATTAATATGCATGTGCGGTTTTGTCAACAAGTCAGACTAAGATTGAAAAAATCTATAAAATGCACTAATGAAGCGATCTATTCAGAAATTCATGAGTAGATCGTTTTTTCTATTTCAATTTATATGTACATTTTCACTAAACAGTTTATATATAGAGCACAATTTTAATCAATTTATATCAAATACTTATCTAACAGTGTGACACACGGAGTTTAAGATGAACAGAACGTAGAATTTTGCAAATGAAGTTTATCTTTACGAAAAAACTTGATCATCTTGTACAATAAGAAATTCTCTAAAAAATCAGATAAACTTACAGATTTTTAAAAAAGTTTTGTATAGACGAAAATTTTTCAGTGTTTTCTCTGCAGATTTAAGATTTAAGACATAATAGAGTTATTGTGATTATGATACAGAAAGATCGCTAGGTCTATCGAAGTTTTACAATGGTCAAAGACTAGCATATTAAAAAATCCTCCAAACAGTAATAGACCATCACAGACAGCAACATGCATGTTTCGGCTTGTCAAAAAAGAGGCAAGGCAACCTTTCTCACTCTATGCCACAAAAATCATTATCAATTGTGCTTGAAAACATAATGTCTGCTAGTTATCATGAATAAGTCAAATAAAAAGTACTGACATAGATTGAACTGCATAATTGAATATTAATTTAATTTTGGTCACGAATAAGTTAACAATAGTTTGAAAAGTTTAATTTGCTAATCGACAAATTAAAAATGGTCAAACTACAATTATTTTTCAAGAAAAAATTTTTCATTAATATTCGTATGTGCAAGTGCATTTGTGAATAATGAAAAACTTATACAACTTCGAATTGAGATTTAAAGAAGATTCGTCACTTTTGACTCACTATTTGCACTATGTGACAACTTAGTGTAGAATATAAGTAGCCGTTTCAGATTTTGATTTTTTTATTTCAAAAAGAGTATATGTTCTAGTTCATAAAAAACCAAAACTTATTTCAAATTTGTGTTAGGAAAAAAATCTGCAAATGTTTCAAACTTTCACTTTTTTGAGTGTACTTACTTTTTCTATGACAGTTTGTATGTTACTCTTCATCTCTTCGTAACAAACAAGAAGCACATTTGGATCATTACGTCGTTCCCAAGTTAGCCGAAGACATTCAAAATAGTCGTTGAATGGTAGACGACCTTGGATGAAAAGTTCGAAGAATTCATCGAAATTCAAACGATGTACACCACCCCACGTATTGTAAAATGTATAATAGGACACACAAACATCGTTTGGATTTCGAATCACACAAATATATTTTGCTTGCGAATTGTACGGTATACGATTCATTGGTAAATGAGATCTCAAAGCACCCGGCCGTCGCATATTGATAATGGCTTTTTCATCATCTAATTCAAGATAAGGAAACCTTTCAAAAAAATCCTTACAATCAATATCAAAAGGTTGTCCATTTGTCAATAGAGTATAAACAATTGTTTTCATCCATGTTGTTCCACTTTTGGGATACGTTACAATAAACAAATCATCCGATCGTGCTTGATAATTAAGACCAAAGCGAAGAGTTTCTATATCCCAATAGTAGAACCAATTTATACCATCGACGATTATATATGAATCTTGTTGATTTTGAACTGTAGACAACACATTTTAAAATTCAAATTTCTTGTGAATATTTGAAGATAGTTTTACGAATAGTCTGAGACGATATGTTTGTTATATGTTTGTTGAACGACAATGCTCAAAGTCAAGACTATCAGATCTTATGAAAAAATTTCTTTCATAAGAAAATTTTTTAATCAATAGAAATATGAAATTTCATTTAGAGCTATTCAAATCATTTATTGAAATCTCAAATTTTTTTTCTTAAGTTCAAAATTAAATAGAACTATGAGAAATTGATTTATAGAAATTTCATACAAAAAAATGTGTCTTATACTTGATACCTGTTTCGTTCGACATGGCGATGTTACTATATACTAAAACAATAGTATTTCGTAAAATGAAAAACAAGAGAACCGAACCCATTCTTTCTGTCAGTAGACAAATATGATATTTGCTTTAGTTCTCCTAAATAAAGGCACGTTTTTTTATGTAGTAGACGACAAAGAATATAAAGTAGAAGTGCAATAATAGTGGTTATCATCGTCATCAACATGTTATTTTATAAAACGAAAGGTTATTCGACTATAGAAATGGCACTTTATCAACACTCTTCAACCTATCAAGATTGACTTCACGTTCATTTCACGTTTAGGAATTTTAATGCCTTTGAAGATCAAATCTTTCTGGATTGATCATTCAGTTTGTGATTGCTGCTATGTGCTCTCTTTATTTTGTATGAAGTAATGTGATTTATGTTTGTCTCATTGGCTTCGATCGAATTCTAAGATTATATTTTACACAATAGTTTATTACACCGTCGTCGTCAGTTAGTACCGATCACTCAGCAGCGCAGTCATTTGACATGAGATTATTATTATGATAGAAGACAACGCTTCCTTGCTTCATTGGTACGCAACGATATTTTGATGAATACTACATCGCATCAATGAAAATCCAGCATTTCAAAGGCTGAAGAATATTTGCACTGCTAACGACAACGAAAATCAATGCAGCCATTCGATATATTCAGCAGTGTATGTCCGACTACGATGAAAAGCATTGTGATAAACTCTGGAATTCAATCAATGTGACGATAATAAATATCGATGTATGAATGGCATGTGTATGTCGGATACGTATTTTCTCGATTGATGAATATGATTGTTCAGATTTAACCGATGAAAAGCAACGATTTGATAATATGCAAGCACAACTCGAATCGGATTTTTGGATTCGTAAACAATTCAGAAAGAATGTCACAACTTTCGTAATCAATATTACATGTAGGAATTGCATAATCAACGAAATCAATTGCCATCATCTAATGGAAAATGTTTGTCAGAGTTAATGCGTGAAGAGTCTCTTACGCAAAATCATACCACAGCCGAAGAATATATTTATTTCATTAAATGTGCTTTGCCATGAAAAGCAAAAAACGAATCTTCTTTATAAGTCTAATCTGTTTTTGTGCATATATTGTCTCGTTAATCACTGTAATGTTCCATGGATTCAATGTCCGAATGTTAACATATGCGGTATCATCTATCTTCGCTCATTACAGAAAAAAACATGATTAGTCTACAAATTGGTCGAATTTTATTTGAATCAATGCTGCTACTTAATGTAGATGCTATATAATCTGTCAACATTTGGACCAATTCTGCGCAAATGATTTATCCTTTCGCTTCGCTGAAACATAACTTTATTCCTCATCGTTCAATGATTCTAACCGTAATCAGCTTGGGTTATGATCGCAATTGTTGCAGACTTGAAAACATTCAAATATTGTCCGCATCATTTTGTTGATGCATGTCCATGCTCGTACGAATGAATATCCCAATTCTGCGTATGAATGAAAGGTTGTGTACGTGGGACTTTCATTAATCAAGACTCATACCCTTATTTTCCTCATGACGTGTACAGGTATGCGTACATTTTGCGTAGGTCTCCTCTCACTAAGAATCTATCTCTTTTTGTTGATCTATTCTCAAACAACCTTGATAGGTTGTATGACACAGGTATTCCTTATTATTGATATGCTTAAATTGTAGCGAAAGTAATATATCTCATTCATTTGTCATGGTATAGCGCTAAAAATCTTATCATCACTTACAGCCGTATAACCAACGTAGTCTAAAGATTCAATGATCCAGGAACTTAAAAGAACAAAAAAACAATGCATCATTTTATTTGTTCGTTTCATTATCCGAAATGCCTTTTTTTTTGTTTCTTTTGACGTAAAAAGTTACAAAAAGTCATATTGTTTCAGCCTTTAATGTCATGGGAAGATGTTGAAGAACGATACTAGTAATAAATGAACACTCATGGTGATATACTAGTACACTGTCATAAATCTCGAATTTTCGACCTCAAATGAAAAATGTGAGTTTAAAACTTAGTATGTTTAACATTTTTCGAGAGATTTTGAGGTCACTTATTAAATGCCAAATTTCTTTTCATCCTCTTTTAGGAAAGTAAAAAGCATTTATGTGTAATGGTATTAGCTTTGTTGACGAAAATCATTTTCATTTTAGAGTAGATAATCACTAAATTCAAAAAAAGAAAGAAAAGAAAAACATATGCACATCGAAAGTTCTAAGAATGTTACACTTCTACGACATGCAGACTACTTGGTTGACTCAGCTTCGAAACATTGAAAGAGTGCTAGATGAATATTTTCTAATATCTTATAATATTGCGCCGATCTATCACGTGGTACATTGGAATCTCCATTTGAAAGAACAATAACACCAATAGTGTTCTTTTCATTAACTAACATCGAATGTCTTGCACCAGGAAGTGAACCACTATGACCAATGTATCGTCGTCCATCGCTCAATGTCTGCCAGATCCAACTAAGTCCAAAGCTCGGCGGTGGTATAACTGACGAACTGGCTATTCCATTGGGATCATAATATGGGATGAGACCACCACCGACTATTAGTCTCATTTCAGCAATAGATCTAGGATTGAGAAGACCAGATCCATTATTCATAAACATTTGAAGAAATATAGATAGAGAACGAGCTGACATGCGAAACAGGCCAGCAGGATAGGCACTGAAGCCGAAGAATGGAATGTATAGCCAACTCGGAAAAGTGCTCTACCAAGAAAGTATACAAATAAATTCTAATAGTTTTTTTTATGTGCTTACTGAAAGTTGTGTCACATTCAATTGTGGCAATCCTTGTGTCCATTCATTAAGGTTAGATGCATTAAATGAATAAGCATAATGTTTGACGAGTTCTTCTCTATTTGAAAAATCGGCTAAGCGAATACCTACTTTACTAATATCGACATTAAGCGGTTTCATTATTTTTTCTTTCACATATTCATCGAAGGACATGTTTACTACTCGTTCAACAACCAATCCAGCTAAAGAAGAACCATCATTCGAATAAAATGTTACGGTACCCGGTGGCTTTGGCAACCAATTCGATGTGTTTGGATTTACATAAGTAAATAGTGTCTCAGCTAATGTCGACTGTTCGAAAGCAGTGTCGCCCGTTTGATACAAGCTGAGTTGTATGTTTTCATCGACAGCAATTGACGACGAGTGGGAGAGTAATCTTCGTAAAGTAATCGAATGAGATGAATAGTTTGGATGAAAAATACGATGATGAGGTTCCGATAAATACTGGTTGATGTCTGAGTCAAGATCGACCAACTCCTGCTCAACAAGTTGCATAACAGCAACAGCAATGAATGTTTTCGAAATTGAAGCTATGGCGAAAATTGACTTTTCCACATCCATAAACTGTGGTGGTGAAAGAGACTGATAACCAAAAGCTTCTTCGTAAAGTGTATGAGTACCATTGACGACGATGATAGCCGCACCAGGAATGTAAGAATCATTCAGAGAGTATTCTATCCATTGTCGATCGGGACAATTCAAACATCCCTCATCAACAATTAGGAAGATAACGGCAAGAAAAAATGGCAAAATGTATGACATTTGTTGACTATCGTACGATTAATACGAGTTCTATTTGTATCTATGACTTACATAAAATAAAGCCGTGTGCTTATAAATCAATCAAAGAAGATAAAAAAAACAAATATGATCTTCTTCTTTTTAATAAGATTAATCTCATATAACTATCGATTTAGTGTCAATATTTGAATATACTGAAGTTAAAGATAGAAAATGAATCATTTACTATATTGTTAGAAAAAAATATACATGGGTTTATGTATAGCATTGTTTCTTCTTACACTACTATCTTTAATCAAATCAAAATGAATGTGAATGTAGAACATATAATAAAATCTCACCCATACATGCATCCGTACTCTCAAGATTTTTCAATATGAAATCTAATAAGTTCGTTAAGAAATGAGAAACACAAAAAAGCATGCTTTTGAAGGAATGTAAATAAATATAGAAACGAAAAGCAAATGAAAAACTTGATTCTTTGGAATATGTCGATATAGATACGAAGAAAAATTTTACTTCTAGAAAAAATATATTTATAGGGGTAACCAACACTTCATTCTCTACTTAACAAAACCGAAGAAACACACTATACTATGCGTTTATATTGCCATGGCATGATGCCTATAGTAAAGTAAGCTGAATTATCAAATTTTCGCTTTGATGTAAATAGTATTAGTAGGCGAGTTTTGATAAAATGTGTAGATCAAACAATTTCTATTAGTGATCAGCCAGGTTCAAATAGTGAATGTAGTATTAATGGTGCATCCGAAAGTTGTGAATACTACAGCAGCTTTGATAGTCAAGGTAGTAACTGTGTTTATAGTATTGAGAGTCAATTATACATTTTAATTGAATGAATCGAAGGGAGTTATTCTTGTTGAAACTGTAGGAGGCAATGGAAGTATGGGAGGAAGTGCTGACCATGGTCAAGATGGGTCACGTGGATATAATACTTACGGTGGAAGTGGGGAAGATGATAGACATAGAAAAGACGATAATTTTGGAGCTAATGGCCGTAATGATGGATCTGAACGAAATCCCAGTGTTGGTAGACATGTTCAAGTTTTAAGAGTATACCGCCACCCTTATTAATAATGCTTATTTAGCTACTTCACATATAATATATGCTTACATAGGGGAGAGGCAAGAGAGAGAAACATGAGCACAAGAAACAACAATAAAGAGAGATAAACACGTGAGAGAAGAATAGAAACAATATAAAGAGGAAAGGAAGGTCAGCGAAAGGTGATATCAATATAGACACATTCTCCCGCTCAGAGTAGGTGTGCTACTAAGCGTCTGTTGAATATAGAGAGAAATGGAAATGAAAAAGTGACAAAATGAAGAGAATAAAAACAATCTAAAAGTCCATCATTTGAACCTTGTCAAACAATGGAAAAGGAATATGAGCAACATTGACCAATCAGAATTGTAACAATCATTTCAATTACATTTTCTCACACTCATGTATGTGTTCAGTTAAGGATTAATATAGCATCCATAAAAGTACGCAACGACATAGCAAAAACAATAGCATACAATACACAAAATATTCAGAACGATTTATCTTCACGTTTTGAAATGTTTAACTCCGGCATTTCGTATAAAACGCAAAAAAAAGATTATAATTCAACGAAAACGAGTAACACAGAAATAATTATTTTTAAAAGTTCTATTAGAATACATAGGTAATGTCCGCAAAACAAAAGAGATGCAATGACTTAGTTTTACACAAGATTCTATATAATTCGTTCCATTGAAAATCCCAGCATTTTTATGGAATGCCTCATATTTTGACTTCATTTTCAAGGAAAGTAAATATGCAACTGAAAAAATGCGACGTCCGAAAAAATAAATAGTATCGTTAAATGAATTTTCATCTAGAACATATTTGTAGTACTTCGAAAGAAAAAGGAGGCACAAAGTGAAGTCTCTTTTACACATTCGAACATCACTGACTACCGTCCATGGTATCAAAAATTAATACGTTATTACGCCTTTTCATCATTGTCTCAACTGCTTGTATGCATGTTGAAAACATTTATTCCACTTCAAGAGCTGCTCTACGGCATGGTCAACGCACGAATGTCTGGCGCGCATGCGATGTCCTTTTTCAAAAGTATTTCTTGTAAATTGAATGAAAACAAAACTGTATGATCAAATTCCATTAGTTAAAGAAGCAGTTGAAAGAATGTATGAGAGTGAAATAATGTTTTAAAAACAGCGTAAAAAGAAACGTTACTGTTGTTGTGTTATTTTAACGATGCCAACAACCACACAAGCGGGACTAGGAACCGCTTATCTTCCTCGAAATGTAAGTTTTCCAATAACAGTTTATTTATTTATTTGTTCTCTTTTGTTAGAAGTTCAAACCACAATCAGTCGTGAGTCTTGATTTAGACTCATTGATAGAAGTACGCGATAAGAAGATCCATCGGTAAGTTATTTTCTTCACAATAGTCGTATCACACATGAGATGTTGTAGAAAGGGTGGTGGGTCAAGTACTTTCTGTAAAGTGTTAATAACTGTTGAAACTTTGTTGGTCATTGGAACTGCTATTGCCGTTCCTGTCGCACTTACATTAGGTAAGACAACGATGGTAATTACTCTGATGATATATATGCAGTAGTGTGTCAGTATTCTAAGTGCAATTTGTTTGAAAATACACTGTTTTTTAATAGTTTAGTATTCAACCACTAAAGAGCTTTTGTACCACATTGGTAAGCGACTATGTGGGCTCAGTTCTTAATCTAAGGTATGCGACAGTCTAAACTAAAAAATTTAAATTTATAAAGATTCTATTGATATGAGTATAAAGTTCCGTTTACAGTACTACTACCTGTAGGCTGAGCGAATCTCCATCATTAAACAACATATTTCTTGAACCGTGTTTACTGTTGTTGACAACAATTAGTACGAATTCTACCGTGATAGCTTTCGTTTCTACAGATTAAAGCATTGTTCTCAAGGATAATCTTGATAGTAGCTTTGATGAAACATAGATCTAAGGAAATATTGAAGTATATAGCAAGAAAAGTGAACAATGGTCTTTTCCATCAGTCTACACATGTAGAGACGCCTGAGAGATAGACAGAAATGAATAATGCCTACTATCGCCGCATACCTTGGCAGATTGATTGGAAAGAATTCTCTGGCGTCATATGCTATGTTCGATGTAGCTAGAACTTCATTTACGAGACATAGATCAATCTTGTTTCACATTTTAATCCCATATGCATTAGACTGAAAACTTTTCCACTAGCAAAGGCCACCACTACTACCGTAACCACAACCACCAGCACAACTAGCACTAGTACTACAAGTACATCCAGTACTAGTACTACCAGCACTACCACGACGACGACCACAACTACAACTACTACAAAAACTACAACCACTACAACTGTTACTACCACTACCACAGCTACGACAACCACCACGACAGCGCGTAAGTTAAATAGAGTGAGCCTATGAGAGAAGAAAAAGATGAGCATGAGTCGAAGCGTTTCTCTTTGACTTCAAGCGGGAGTAAATGATAGCTGTTTGAAATGCTCTCATAAACATTTTTACGATGATGTTACCCACCTCTCAATGACTAGTACAACATGTATACTCGAGTAAACTGTCGTAGTCAATTGGTAATTCAGAGTATAATATGAGTTCAAACACGTTTTAATACAGCAAATTAATAAATACATCCATCAAAATCTATTTCATTGACTAAAGCTTGAAGTCAATATCAACAATGCTGTTCGTTCACAGGCCCGATTCAACAAAAATCTTAATACTCGTTTAAATTTAGATAAAAAGCGTAGAGTTTTGCCGACTTGTATTGTTAGAAAATTGTCTTTTTGTCTGGCAATGTCTCCTTCGAAAGGCTGTGGCAAAGTATTTTATAGCGAATTATTTATACACTTGAAGGATACTTTCAGAACAAGACTCAGATAGAAAGGTATTTCAAATGACGATTAACTTGTACTGGTAATTCAGGAATGAAAACGTATTATGAAGGGTTTGGAGACATATTTTCCTCACCTGTTTGTGGTCACAATGATCACATTCATTCCAAATAACCTGTTAGATTCATATCAATGCTCGTTGCTTATTTGCTTTTCGTTTCTATGTCAGTACATGAAAGAATGTTTTCCCGTACAGCAATAGCAAGTAGTGACGAAACGTATTCGTAGAATTTCATTATTTATCAAAACAAATAGACTAATTATATTTTGTATGATATCTACCATATAGCATCAAGTTAGCTTATCAGATGGGATAAATAATGAAGTTATATGAAATAACTTTCTTAGGCAACTTTGTAACGTCTTACAGACATATAAAAATAGAAATGATCATTGATTTTTCAGTAGACGTTGTCATAACTAGGTTGTTTCTCTCTAGTTGTGCCTCTATCACTCCTTGCTACAGTGACAGCATCTAGTTTCTGGAGCGGTACTGGCACGCCAACTGCTCAAGGTGATGCTCTTGTTGATCGTATTCAAAGCACGTACTATAATTCAGGAGGATCAGCATCTCAATATGTCCAGCTTGGGCTTCCTGGCCTTTACAGTATATCCGTGATATGTTTGAATGTTGCTCAACTTCATAATAGCGTTACACAACATCAAGTCTCCGTTGGTGCTTCTGTAAGCTCATTACAAGTGGCTACTAATTTAAATAGTTACACATACTGAGGTCAATGGATTAATATCACATATAATCCAGTGCTGACCGGCGTAAGCTATGTCCGTCTTGATACAATATCTAGTCCATCATGGGTGGCCTGGCAAAAATTTCTGGTCTATGGAGTTTGACAATGAACAGACAGAAATTTTTCAACTAACAATCTACAATTCAATTCAACAGTGATGACAAAACTTGATGACAATAGCATTTTCCAAGTTTCTTGTACATTTTGTAGAGAAAGAGCTTTAATTGATTACTGTGACTGACTACAGAAACACATGAGCAAGATTTTAAAGTAAAAGCCTCAAGAAGATAACGTCAGCTAATCATCTGAGAATTCCATCATACAAAAGAAACATCATGCTATATTAAATCTACATAGAAATGGATGGACTAGTAACTTTTTTGTTAAATATTTTCTGCAGCTCTCACTAGGATGTAGAGATGAGTGTGGTTAGTATGAGTTCACTCTTCAACATAAATTTGTGATTAGACAACTACGTAGAATTTTTTTTCTATATCATTGTCGCTTTACGCTTTAGCGGATACTTTTTTCATTTTTATAAGATGAATACTACGTGCTCGTATTGAGACAACAACGTCTGGGCTAGCTTGATTGTCATCAGTAATCAAAGTTTCTTCTTCAAGGACATCGTTACGCATTTGCATCCTGTGTACAGCAAACACACCCTTATATTTGAACGGTGATACCAGCACATCATTAATCCATTGTGCAGCTATCGTCACGCCACCACCTTCGTCTGTATACAGATCTTCAGCACCATATCCTCGACAGAAACGATAGTCCTTGATTCCTTGCACAATACCATTCTCGGTGAATGTATTTCGCCATGTTGTACAACTTTCATCAGTCATCGGATAAGGTCCAATCTCTAGTGTCACGTTCCAGCCAGAACCTATTTCACCTTCTGGATATGCTTCCATCGGACCATACCAAGTACCAGTCCAATTGGTCTGAGCTAAACTTGACTTGCTCATGGGCCAACCTGAAGAATCAATGAATCATACATGTTTGATGGTCAAGTCATTAAGCTTTCGTTAATATTCACGTAGCTCAATGAGTGAATGTTCTGCACATGCAATGCTTCGAAATACTTTTAAAGTTCAATATGTTTTTCAGAGCTGTGATAGCACTTATTTTACATAATAACATATGTCTTCTTCTCGTATTTCGAACTTGTTACATGCGATAGACAAACAGCCACTGTTTTAACCTGTGGAAAGCTTTTCTAAACTTTATATTTCGATTTGCAAACTAACATGCTTTACTGAACGTAAGAGAGCTATAGAGTAAAGTGCAATATTTAACTGTGAAACCAAAGATAGATTACTGGTTCACAGTTATTGATGCGGTTTGCAGAAGTAGTAGTTACGTCTAGAGCTAGGATTTTTCTATATAGAAATAGTTCATCAGGATGTACACTAGGAATTACTGAAAATCAAATTGTACTGTCTTAAATCTGCCTAGAATTTAAAATTACAATAGTCCAAAATAACATTAATGTCTAGTAACAACTCATGTAAACGAGAGTTCTTCTCTTCGTAGAAGCTTAGTAGGAATATGAAAATCGAATTATTGTTAGATGATGACTTCATTTAGAATTGCTTGATATCTAGTTAGAATTAAAGTCGACAGTGATATTTCAATAATAGTTTCAACTTGGCTTCATATAGTGGCTAGTTTTCTGTTACATATAAGGAATCATCGATTCGATACTTCTAGGCTATAATCTGCGTGGTTAGTGAGTTCTCTTGACGTAAAGAAAACAATATGTGTTTGGTTGAAGCCTCACCAAAAGCCCATAAAGTCAGTATTACGATATTATCCATATGTTTATTCTTTTTCTCACTAACGACTCTAACGGATCTAACCAAGCAATACCTTATAAGAGAATTTTGCAAGTGCTTCGTTCCAACTTTTTTACTATAGACACCGTAACTAGTACGTAATAAAATGTCGCCTAAGACGTAGAATAGTTACTAATATCTATATATTAGCTTGATTGGCAAAGCAATCCAGTGAATCGCTGTATCACTGTACATATCTCTTTCTATATTAAGTAGTTAGACTATTTCAAAATTCATTTGGAATTCATGTATCCAGCAATGGTTCATACCAAAATTAAATTTATACTTTTGGAAGCTTAACTACAAAGTCACTGCTTCGTCAGAAAAACAAGCAAAAAAAAATTATAATATTATTTTAATAGTGAGCGCTTTGCGTACTAAAAAATTCTTATTATATACACACCATTTTTTGTGCATTCGACGACAGCAATGCCGATTGCAGAAAATAGAAACAGAAAGGAAAGACTAAGTGATTTGAACTCATGCATTGACACAAAAAAAAAACAGATGACTTGTGTGAGTTATAGTGAAGTCCCTACGATGAAAATTTTATCAAAAGAATATCGCAATCACATTAGTTTTTATACTGTATCGGTAATTCGATGAACTTTTCTTTTTATTTTAATCAAATATTAGCACAAAGAGAATATCTTTTTCATTACAGCAGCTATAATTCAAACAAGGATTTGACGAGTAAATATTTACAACTTTAAGGATGAAGAGATTATATTGCCAAAATACCAAAGCGCTTCAATGTATATGTATTAACCAGCATATTTTCTAAATAGCAATTGCTTTTATCGTTTGCTTTTTATACATTTATCAACATTTATTTGACTGAAGAACTTCTTCATAAAGTCATTATTTACTCATTATTGGACTATAAGAAAAATAAATATGACAGTGAGTGATGAAAATTCATAATCACATACGTCAAAGAAACCAACAATGATATTGTTCGCACTCGAATATTGAAACCGATTGATAATAAACCAAATATAGAATTAGTACGCAAAGCCTAAATCAACAATTGAAAACATTAATGTCTCTAGAGCAACATGATCGATATTCATGGATTCGTTGAAAAATGAATATTCTTTTGAATATATCGAGATGACCATTAAATTTTCAGAAGAATATTTGTATTCAAGATACGAAAGCTAGGAAGACTATCGAGAAAGATCGATCTTTCTTGTCATTTCTTACAACTATTTGCCAACAAAAATATGTATTTGGAAAGAAAACTAACAATTCTTCCGAGTAAATGAGAATGCCCGTAGTTCTTTTATCGATCTACTCAATGCTGATGTCACATATTTTCACCTATTGGTAGATTCAATGGATGCTTTCAAATGAGACCACATTTTGAAACTATTTCTCCCTTGTACACTCAATGAGTAATTGGCCATGTAGGAAAAGAATGAACAGTTTTGTCGTCTTTTACGGCACCATCCTTTAGTAATATGATGTAAATTGAAAATTAAAGTAAAATGTTTACTATTTTTACAAATGATTAAATTGAGCAAATGAAACTGAAGCACAAAAAAAGATCACCCTAAAATGATACGAAAAAAAAAGAATATTTGAAGTTTTATAAGATGCAAAAAGTTCAGAATAAGAACAAAGCAAGTGTTCGAGTTGAGAATATATCAGTTTTTAGATAAACGAAGGCGATGACTCAATGTCATACAAAAGACTTGTATCAATATCGTTAGTTTCATCAATATGAATGGACTGCAATGTTGATTGATAACACGTACAAAATCTGTAGATACTTGTCCTGATTTAGCTGCACGTCAAACAAACCAATAATTGTATCATTGCAAAAATCTAATCATCAAAAGTACTTGTGGTTCAGAATGTTTAGTTGTATCAGAGTCATCACCTCGTTGATAAGTTCGAATTTCACCATTTTTATCAATTTTTTATGATTTTTAATGTTGGTGTTTTCCAATCACTTATTGTTGAAGCAAGCCAACATTCTTCAGTAATGGCTGCAACACGTTGACTAAAAATATAAGATATGTGTTCTAATTTATGACACTGTTCGTCAAACATCTTTCCTAACTCTCTTGCATGTCGTAATGCATGTGTCATACCCTGTGCATGTTGAGGATTAAATGCACACATTGCATTGCCTAATAATATATAATTATGAGACCATTTTTTGTCTAACAATTCAACATATTTTCGATCATCGATAGTTCGACGATATGGAATTCATGGACTACATACTGTTGTTGATTTTAATACTGAATTAAATTCGTTAGCTAGATGATCTTTTGCCCATTCTAATAGATTTTCATAGAAATCATTTGGTGGATATTCTGAATTGACACAATACACTGCAATTGTCGATAAAGTTATCAAGAGAATTCTTATCATTGGTTTTTATTGTACGTATTGGAGTTATATAACATCCTGTATTATTATCTGATGAATTAATATTGCAGCCAATAATAGATATTGAATCTAATGATGGATTTCCTGTTTTAAATCTTTCACCTATAAATGAAATATAACCACAACCAAAATGTATTTGTTCAGTTGGTACAATTAAATTAAATTGTGAATCAACATGTTGTTTTAATCGATATTTTACATCTTGAACAATATTGACTGATTGATCAACAATTAGTTGAATTGCTCTTGCATTAGATATTCATTCAATTTGATTTTCATATAATAAACACAATTCTTTTCTCAAAGCTATTTCTAATGTAAAACGATCAATACCTAATCATTCCATATATCTTCAGTTAAATTTTGATTTAATAAAACACCATTAACAACAAGAATTGCTTCACTTTTTTAATGAATATAGACGAACATTATATTCATTTTTCAATTTATATTTTAAATGAGGAAATAATTCATGTAATACATTAAATACTTCAGCTTTGAGTACGTGTATTTGGTAGATTTGACTAACACCTGAGCGTCCTATTGATGTTGGACTTTCAAGGTGACAATGATAAGCTAATAATTCATTGGGTGTGGATTTATTTAAAGTATCACTTAACACATCATCTGATTCTATGATTGTTATTCGTTTGAAATGTTTTGATAAATAAGCAGCACTGATCATTCCTCCAAAGCTGCTTTCGATAATTATAGCATTGTCGTATTCAGGAATACTTGAAGTAAATTGAATTTTTTTTCTATATTTTTTGTGAACAATGTAGGCAATTATTATCAAAAGGATTGGTATTATGAGATAAAACATTATGTGGTTATTCAGTAACAGATTCATAATAAAACTATTTTTATTCATAGATGTAACATGATTGACCAAAACAACAAAATAATATTTAAAAATGGTTCTTGAGTAAAGATTCACTATGATATATATCTTATTTTTTCGTGACGCAAATTAGCTTTAAAGAGAGAAAATAATGTGGGCACTCATGTGTTTTATGTATGCATGTATGACCAATTTACTACAATAACAGAAAGAAAGTCAGTTAAATGTGACTTACTTATGTTTTGTTTAACGACTATGCATATATGCATCAAAAACTATAATTGCATTGGTTTCGCAGATTGATCATGCTGATGACGCATGCGCATATACGTTAACAGTGACAAAAAAAAGACAAAACTTAGTTTTCTCATGTATACATATAATTGTGATCTAGAATGTTTTGTTTTTGTAGGCTAGCTGTACGTGTAACTTACTATTTCATAAGCAAGTTTCTATTTTTCATAATTGATTTTATATTTCTCAGAGAATCATGTTTATAAAATGTTGTAAAAAAGCTTCAAAGCAAGTGAAACCATTAACGATGATTTTAAAAAGCGCTGTGTGTTTTGCTTGTTCAATTTTATATTCAACAAAACTATTATCTAGTATACAATATTATTTTGATGTTGAAAGATATCGATGATTTTAATTCATAAATCTATCGTAAAGTTATTGAGTTTTTTCAACTTCTATAGATTAGACAAACAAGAAAAAATGAGAATTTACATGTCACTAAAGAAAGCAAAAGATGTTTTGCCGTTTCCTTTTTTTTCTGTCATAAATCGATAAATCTCAAGGTATCATGAACTTTTTTCTTTGTTGCTCTGTATTCGTTCTCATCTCTCATTGACGCTGTATTGCAAATTAAACTGTACGAAAAATAATGTTAAAGCTAAAAAGAATCGAATGGAAATTATTTTTTATGATCAATAGTGGTACAGTGTTGATTCAAAACTCATCATTGATTGAAATTCTATACCGTTAGATCGCAAGTCATTCAATACACTTGAATTCATATGTAAAAAATTCGATATTTGTTTTTAAGCGAATAAATCCAGTGAATCAACAAAAGATATGATAATGATGCTAATCTCCGTTCTGTTAAGTTATAATTCACTTATGAAGATATGACATTCACCTAAAATGAAATTATTCAAATTTTTCTATTGTGAAACTTTACCATAAACAAATGAGAAATCAATAAAAGTCTGCACACAGATATACAAGAGGATATACTGGTTGTCGATGAATGATTTGTGTGGCTTCTCTTATCTACATCTACACTCTATGTTGCTTATCAAAAAGAACTTTCATTCATTAAATCAAGCACTTTGTTCATAATCGTATAGCTGCATGTGTTTTATTAACATTAATTTATCATAAAATCAAAAATCTTTTGAAGAAAATTCAAGTTTTGTTTTTTTACTATATTGAAATGCGCCTAGTGATCTAAATACTACTTCTACATTTGCACTTCGATTGGATAAAATTGAATTACTATTAAAAGATATATTATGAACTCAATTTTGAATTGAAATCGATTTTTGAAATTAATTGATCAAGACATAGTTTATGTATTGTTTTATGTTTTAACAATATGTAGGTTCATAATTTTCTCTTTAATTAAAAAATTTTTTAAAAATGACTCTTATTTTCTTATGAATATTGTTTCATGTTTTGTTGAATTAGTAAAAGATGATAAATGAAAATAACTATCCTCAATGTCATGTTTAGAAATTATTTCTTATTGAAAATGTTAAATAATCATGATTAAATTTATCAAAGAGTTTATTTAAGATGTTTTGAAATCAATGTATAATCAATTGGAATGTCTACATGTTCTATGTGATTTATTAACTACATCAATGCATTTGTATTGAATTCTATCGACATTTCTACAAACATTACTTACGAAATCTATGTTGACATTTCATTATGTCAATTATGGCAAAATTTGACTGACACAATATATGAGACATAAAGAAAACTTTTCCTTCCATTTGATTACCCATATATAAACATTCGTAATCAATAAATGATCTTTTAAATTAGATATATTTTCTCTAGATAAAGAAAAATAAGAAGAGTTTTGTCTAAAGATTATTTATTTTCATTGATTATTCTCTGTATTAAAATTAAAACAGTCGTCTTATATGATATAAGATTGTATTGTATGTATTAATTTTTATTACATATTGAATCGAAAATTACAATAAATATGACATTGTGATGGTTATAATTGATCGTACTATAGTCTGTATATTTCTTAATTTATTCATAAACGTTTGTCTAATATATTTATATAATGTATTCATTGAATTTGATCAAATGAATGATATATGTGAAACAAAACGAATTTTGCGTCTCAACAAACAGACTTTGACATTGAAACAATTGTTCAACAATAGTTTTCTCACAGTAGTGTTTTCATTTGATGAAAAATAAGGAAGTATATGTAGAGATAAACATGGTACAGCCTAAAAGAAGCAGAACAAATGAAAGATATATCCTTCCAGTTTGTCTCACAACAATAGAGTCATAATGCTATGAATAAGTTTCGTTCTTGTGATAGATAAGACACTGAATAAGTCTTTGTCATGATGAAAAATCTACTCGTTTATTTCCTATATGATTTCCATTTCAACTATAGATGTAATATGAGTACTCTATCTGCCACCTACGTCTAATAATATAGATGTCTTCCGAAAAAAAAAATCTCGCTGTTGATTATTGTAAATAAAGCTAGTATGATAAAACTTTATCAATACTTCAAGAAGCTCTAATCTTGTGTTTAGATATCTTCATGTTAATAATACTTACAAATGGAAATAGTAATAAAATGTTCAGGCATTTCAGAAGATTTTTCCAAAACTCATTTTTTACAATTCGTAATCAATCAGTTTTCATCGAAGAATATGACTACTTGAAAAATTCCATATCATATATAGCTATACTTTGAAGTACATCATTTAGGTTGTAGAGATTGTTTCTCTCATTGTAATTCTATTTGGAAAAACAATGTAATTTAATTGTTCGGATACCTGTTGCACATTGATTAGAATGTGAATGACATCAATAAAATGTCGTAACAAAGATATTTAATTTTATCAACTATACTTTCACAAATATTGATTGTTTTAGTAAATTCTTTTTTTGTTTTTTCTTTTGAAGAATACGAGTGAGATATTTACACTAGACAAATATTTCATTGAAAACTCTTGTTTGATAATCATCAATATTTAACATGAAACTAATCTACCAATATGATAGTATTAATCGGGCTTTTACTTTGCATAATATATTGATAAATTCATTGATTGCATTATAAATATTATCTACCGGTTTTTTGCAATTTTAATATATGCATGATATTAATAACACCTGTGCATATTTTACCTCTCTCCTCTCACCGATATTGTTATGGTTAACTATTCCAACACCGAATTTATCTACTGATTTGAGTTTTTAATCTAGCTTTGTCCAATCGAAGATTTTTACGTAGAAAATCAAAACTTCATAATAATTGGAGTAACTGATCAGTAGTAGTTGTGCAATTTAAATTGTTTACAATTATATTCTTTTTTTCCCACTGAACTGCTTATATTTAGATGCGTATTCATTTTCAATCGTGAATTTATTCGGCAGTATTCAAATTAACAAACTTCACTTTTCATGACATTGGTATCAGCGAAAATGAACTAATGAATGTCTATGAGATGCAATAGTGAAACACAAGGACGTTGTTGTTTACCAGTGTTCTCTTCCTTTTTTTTAGACGATAAGAAGTAAAACTGGCTGCCAATGTGGCGACACCTTTAAAATGTAATGCTTATCATTAGAATATCGTACATAATTAAAACGTGTTTGTCAATATGACTTCATCAAGGTTTACTCGTCGAATCTTTAACATGAATGAAATATCTCCTAGGTTATTAATTATGAAAAATATTCTTCATTTTATTCATGATGTATGTTTCTTTTTTTTTCCAACCACTCATTACATACACAGTTGACTCATGCATCAGTTTATCGGAAGAAAAGAATAGTAAAACTGACTGTAATGTTAATAATAAAAGAGTGAATTTTTAGTTTTTTTTTTCACTTCTTTTAAACAACGCAACATTCTATGCTGTATTAAAGACTTGAAAAAAAAACCTGTCAGAAGACACGATGAGTTTTGAATTGTTACCTAATGAAATCCTATTGGATGTATTTATTTATTTCAATGGTGTTGAACTTCTTCGTACATTTTATGGTCTCAACTCACGATTGAATTTTCTTCTTCATGATCGATTTTTAAGCTGTTCTTTCAAATTCAATTCAGTATCAAAACGTGATTTCGATATGATATGTCAACAGTATCTATCATCAATGGCAGCTTATATTATTACTTTAGATCTTACTGATGATGAAGAAACTCCAACACAAATTAAACAATTTCTTTCTTATATTCCATCATTTGAACAATTTACTCAATTACAATCACTTTCATTATTTTATCTTCGTTCATATCCAACATTGATGAAAATTCTTGAAGAATGTCATCATCTTGGTAATCTTACACATTTAGGTCTCTTTCATTGTTATCAAGATGAACAAGTTGATTTTCAATTAATACTTAATCAAATTTGGAGTCTACCAAAACTTAGGCATTGTACGATTGGTATTGGAAGTACAGGACAATGTTTGTTTCGTACGCCAACAACAAACTCCTTATCTCTTGAATATGTATCTATAGAAAGAATTCAAGTTAAATTGGATCAAATAAATCAATTATTTGAATATACACCTACTCTTAAATGTCTTTCAATATCTGTGCTATCTTTTATCGATAATGATTATAC